GCTAGACAGAGGCCTGGCACTGTCATCAACCTCAAGGGCCCGTTTGTTTATCCCAGTAGGGGGCACATTAGCCATATCTTGATCCGACGGTAGTGAAACAGTTGTCAACTGAGTAGAGACAGGAGGGGGGTCCTCCCTATGTGGGCGAATGACATCTCAGTCGAACCCCCCATAAATGGGCCACACAACACTGCCTGATGGAGAAAAAATGACAACAAAGCACACAAGAAAAGAAAGACTGTGAAGCAGAGCCTAAACAGGGCTTAGACCACCAACAAACAACTGAGGAACCTTCAGAAGACACGTCCACACTCCACAAATGCCGGCCGAGCTACTCCCATAGTACTATGGCTGCGAAGCTTGGGTCAGTCCCTTAGTACTATGGCTGTGAAGCCTGGGCCAGTCCAGTAGTACTATGGCTGTGAAGCCTGGGCCAGTCCAGTAGTACTATGGCTGTGAAGCCTGGGTCAGTCCAATAGTGCTATGGCTGTGAAGCCTGGGTCAGTCCCATAATACTATTGCTGTGAAGCCTTGGTCAGCCCCATAGTACTACGGCTGTGAAGCCTGGGTCAGTCCCATTTCACTATGGCTTTGAAGCCTTGGTCTGTCATATAGTACTATGCCTTTGAAGCCTTGGTCAGACCCATAGTACTATGGATTTGAAGCCTTGCTCAGTCCCATAGTACTATGGCTTTGAAGACTTCGTCAGTCCCATAGTACTACAGCTTTGAAGCCTTCATCAGTCCCATAGTACTATGACTGAAGCCTTCGTCAGTCCCGTAGTACTATGGCTTTGAAGCCTTGGTCAGTCCCATAGTACTATGGCTTTGAAGCCTTGGTCAGTCCAAGAGTACTACGACTTTGAAGCCTTGGTCGGTCCTGTATTACTATGGCTTTGAAGCCTGAGTCAGTCCCATAGTACTATGGCTGTGAAGCTTCGGTCAGTCCCATAGTGCTATGGCTGTGAATCCTGGGTCCGTCCCATAGTACTATAGCTGTGAATCCTGGGTCAATCCCATAGTACTATGGCTGTGAAGCCTGGGTCCGTCCCATAGTACTATGGCTGTGAATCCTTGGTCAATCCCATAGTACTATGGCTGTGAATCCTGGGTCCCTCCCATAGTACTATGGCTGTGAATCCTTGGTCAATCCCATAGTACTATGGCTGTGAATCCTTGGTCAATCCCATAGTACTATGGCTGTGAAGCCTGGGTCCGTCCCATAGTAATATGGCTGTGAAGCCTGGGTCAGTCCCATAGCACTATGGCTGTGAAGCTTGGGTCAGTCCCATAGTACTGTGCCTTTCAAGTTTAGGTCAATCCCATAATACTATGGCTTTGAAGTTTGGGTCAATGCCATGGTACTATGGCTGTAAAGCCTTGGTCAGTCCTGTAGTACTGTGGCTGTGAAGCCTGGGTCAGTCTCATAGTACTATGGCTGTGAAGGCTAGGTCAGTTCCATAGTACTATGGCTGTGATGTCTGGGTCAGTATTGTAGTACTATGGCTGTGAAGCCTGGTAAGTCCCATAGTGCTATGGCTGTGAAGGCTGGGTCAGTCCTGTAGTACTATGGCTGTGAAGGCTGGGTCAGTCCTGTAGTACTATGGCTGTGAAGGCTGGGTCAGTCCTGTAGTACTATGGCTGTGAAGGCTGGGTCAGACCTGTAGTACTATGGCTGTGAAGGCTGGGTCAGTCCTGTAGTACTATGGCTGTGAAGGCTGGGTCAGTCCTGTAGTACTATGGCTGTGAAGGCTGGGTCAGTCTGTAGTACTATGGCTGTGAAGGCTGGGTCAGTCCTGTAGTACTATGGCTGTGAAGGCTGGGTCAGTCCTGTAGTACTATGGCTGTGAAGGCTGGGTCAGACCTGTAGTACTATGGCTGTGAAGGCTGGGTCAGACCTGTAGTACTATGGCTGTGAAGGCTGGGTCAGTCCTGTAGTACTATGGCTGTGAAGGCTGGGTCAGCCCTGTTAGTACTATGGTGTGAAGGCTGGGTCAGTCCTGTAGTACTATGGCTGTGAAGCCTGGGTCAGTCCTGTAGTACTATGGCTGTGAAGCCTGGGTCAGTCCTACGGTACTATGGCTGTAAAGCTTGGGTCAGTCCCATATTACTATGGCTGTGAAGCCTGGGTCAGTCCCATATTACTATGGCTGTGAAGCCTGGGTCAGTCCCATATTACTATGGCTGTGAAGCCTGAATCAGTCCCATATTACTATGGCTGTCAAGCCTGGGACAGTTCTATAGCACTATGGCTGTGAAGCTTGGGTCAGTCCATAGTACTATGGCTGTGAAGCCTGGTCAGTCCCATAGAACTATGGCTGTGAAGGCTGGGTCGGTCCCCTATTACTATGGCTTTGAAACATGGGTCAGTTCCATAGTACTATGTCTTTGAAGCCTGGGTTATTTCTGTAATACTGTGGCTGTGCAGCCTTGGTCAGTCCCATATTACTATGGCTGTGAATCCTGGGTCAGTCCCATATTTCTATGGCTTTCAAGTCTGGGTCAGTCCTTTAGTACTATGGCTTTGAAGCCTTACTCAGTCCCATAGTACTATGGGTTTGAAGCCTTGGGTCAGTCCCATATTACTATGGCTGTGAATCCTGGGTCAGTCCCATAGTATTATGGCTGTGAATCCTGGGTCAGTCCCATATTACTATGGCTGTGAATCCTGGGTCAGTCCCATATTACTATGGCTGTGAATCCTGGGTCAGTCCCATATTACTATGGCTGTGAATCCTGGGTCAGTCCCATATTGCCATGGCTGTGAATCCTGGGTCAGTCCCATATTACTATGGCTGTGAATCCTGGGTCAGTCCCATATTACTATGGCTGTGAATCCTGGGTCAGTCCCATATTACTATGGCTGTGAATCCTGGGTCAGTCCCATATTACTATGGCTGTGAATCCTGGGTCAGTCCCATATTACTATGGCTGTGAATCCTGGGTCAGTCCCATATTACTATGGCTGTGAATCCTGGGTCAGTCCCATATTACTATGGCTGTGAATCCTGGGTCAGTCCCATATTACTATGGCTTTAAAGCCTTGGTCAGTCCCATAGTACTATGGCTTTGAAGCCTGGGTGAGTACTATATTGCTATGGCTTTGAAGCCTGGGTCAGTTCCATTGTACTGTGGCTTTGAATCCTGGGTCAGTCCCATAGTACTGTGGCTTTGAAGCTATGGTCAGTCCCATAGTACTATGTCTCTGAAGCCTGTGTCAGCCCTGTAGTACTGTTTCTTTGAAGCTTGTGTCAGCCCCATAGTACTATGGCTTTGAAAGCTTGGTCGCTCCCGTAGTACTTTGGCTTTGAAACCTTGGTCTGTCCCGTAGTACTATGGCTTTGAAGCCTTGGTCAATCCTATAGCACTATGGCTTTTAAGCCAGTGTCAGTCCAGTAGTTCTATGTTATGAGCTCAGCTCACTCAGATAAGCTGTGAGCGGTAAATTTGGGCCTAGATATGAGAGAATGGGTCTATGTGGTATGTGCTCACCATACAAAAAAATTCCTGCAGCATGTAGTGCATAATCAGAAAAAAAAGCTACGACTGTGTTTTTAGCTTAAGAAGCGACTTTGCGTTGTATTTTTTGATGGGTTTTTTTTCGTTGTTCTCTTGGTTTCGGGAGTGAAAGTACCTCCAAATTGAACTCGAAGTTGCAGAAATGTTAAATTTTTGCTGATGTTCCAGGGTACACAAATTACATCACTTGCATAATACATTCCCAACTGGTTGGTCTAATATGTGTTCATAAATGTGCTGACATTTTTTATACAATTTTTACAATATTGCAGTAGTCTGCATAACAGAAAATCTTTTGTTTTTTTATACTCAGTGATAGAATAGAAGGAATATTAGTGAAATAGCTTTGAGTTTGGTTGACAGGAACAATGGAATTGGCCAAAAATAGGCTCAAAGTGGGCAAAGTCAAAAATGCGTAAAGATCACTGAGACCACTAACTTTGTGTAAGTTTTCCATAAAATTTCGTACCTGAAAAGAGATTTTCTATCATTTCATAAGAATTTTTTTTTTTAAATTCTCTAGCTCTGAGAGCAAGTTTCAGATCATTAACCCTCAGTGGGTAAATATACAATATGTGTTTGTTACAGGAAGTATTAAGAACATATTAATGTATAATATGTATGTGCATTACAGGATGTACTGAAGAACATGTTGGTGTATAATATGTATGTGTGTAAATAACAAAACGGCACAATTCTGTGACTTGAACAATACACAACCTGCACATACGAGAGAGGAGCTTACGATGACATGTTGGTCCAACTTGGACCATTTACAAAGTCACATTAACAAAAAGGAGAGGAGGCAGTATATACAGGCCAGCAGACAAGGACAAGACAAGAGAGGTAGTAGAAAAGGAAGAAGAGAGGTAGAGGTAGTAGTAGTAGTGAAGCCAGTTGAAGACTAAGAAAGAGGAACACTGCAAGGGAGCTAGGGGCCCACAAGGCAGCTAGGGGCCCACAAGGGAGCTAGGGGCCCACAAAGTGTAGGAACAAAAACACAAAGGGGGAAAAAATAATAATGGACCAAACACCCAAGGTAGAAGAAAGAAAATCCAAAGGAGAAAGAGGAAAGGGGAAGAGGGAGAAGGAGATAAAAGAATCAGGTTAAATCATAGGTGTTCTGAAGTTTGGAGCATTTTACCAATGTAATGGGAAAGGAAGGCATGTACAGAGACAAAGCCAGGACTAAGATTCATGCAAAGAAAGTTGTGTATAAGGGAGCATTCAACCAGACAGCGACTGTGAAAGTTAGAAGTAGAGTAGACAGTTTTAGCAGAAGACCAGTCAGTAGGATGACTGTGATCTCTTATGTGGCAGAAAAGAGCATTGTCGTCGTAAGCTCCCCCCTTCTATGTGCGGGTTATTTGTATAATGTATATGTGTTACAGGATGTACTGAAGAACAAGTTGGTGTATAATATGTATATGTGTTACAGGATGCACTGAAGAACATGTTGGTGTATATGTATGTTTTTTACAGGGAGTGGTGAAGAACATGATTCGTGTATGTATAGAATGTGGAATGGCTGCTAAGGAATCTGTAGAGTTGTTTCAGAAGCATCAGAGACTTGTGGGTCAAGCCAAGACTGAATATGCCGCTCTTCAAACCATTGAAAATCAGATAATGTCTTCAGAGCAAGAAATTGCCACTTTTGAGGTATGGTAATCTGCTTGTGCCTAATTTGTAGTTGTTATTGCTGGGGATCCATCTTGAAGTGTGCATCACTCAATTCATATTGATATTTCTCTCTCTCTAGACTGCAATAAGGTTCATGACACTGGAGGACAGGAGGAATGGGGAACACACGATAACATCATATAAAATACTGAGACGAATTGACAAGGGTGGATATGGCCAGAATGTTTCAGAGATGGGACACTAGAACAAGGGAACACAACTGGAAGATGAAAACTCGGATAAGTCATAGGGATGTTAGGAAGTATTCTTCAGCCTCAGAGGTGTCATGAAGTAGAACAATCTGGAGAGTGAAGTAGTGGAGGCAGGATCCATGCATAGTTTTATGAAGAGGTATGATAAAGCTCATGGAGGAGGGAGAGAGTGGACCTAGCAGCAACTAGCGAAGAGGCAGTGCCAGGAGGTACAACTCAATCCCTGTAACCACATATAGGTGATCATGCGCTCACACACACACACACAGTAGGTGCATTTGTCAAGTGGGGTTCCACAAGGGTCAGTCCTAGGTCCAATGCTGTTTCTTGGATATGTGAATGACATGATGGAAGGGATAGACTCTGAGATGTCCCTGTTTGCAGACAATGTGAAGCTAATGAGGAGAATACAAGTGGACGAGGATCAGGTAAGTTTAAAAGGGTATCTGGACAGGCTGCAAGTGTGGTCCGATAAGTGGCTCCTGGAGTTTAACCTCAGCAAGTGCAAAGTTACGAAGCTTGGGGAAGGAAAAGGAAGACCGCAGACAGAGTGCAGCCTAAGAGGTCAGAGACTGTAAAACTCACTCGACATCTAAGTAAGGAGTCATTCACAACACTATGCACTGTGTATGTCAGACCCATATTGGTGTGTGCAGCACCAGTATCGAACCCACACCTGGTCAAACAAATTAAGAAATTAGAGAAAGTGGAAATGTTTGCAACAAGACTTAATCGTGAAGCTGAGGGGTTTGTCCAACAAGGAGAGGCTAAGGGAATTCAACCTGACAACACTGAAGGATGGGAGGGATAGGGAAGACATTGTAGCAACATAGGAAATACCAAGAGGAATTGACAAGGTGGCTAGGGACAGAATGTTTTGGAGATGTGACACAGCAACAAGGGGTCACAGCTGGAAGTTGAAAACTCAGATGAGTCACAGAAATGTTTGGAAGTACATGTACTTCTGCAGTCGGGGTTGTCAGGAAGTGGAATAGTCTGGAGAGTGAAATAGTGGAGGCAGGATCCATACATAGCTTTAAGAAGAGGTATGATAAAGCTCATGGAGCAGGAAGAGAGTGAACCTAGTAGCAACCGGTGAAGAGGTGGGGCCAGGAGCCATGACTCGATCCCTGCAACCACATATAGGTGAGTATGCACACACACACACGCACGTGCACATGCATGTACGTATATACTGTACATGCTTTATGCTCAGTGATAACCTCCTTCACCTGCAATTGTCAGAGCTGTTCACTTTTTATGATGTCGTTCAAGGTGCCTCAAAATGCACCTGACCCAGCTGTCACCCTCCCTTTTATTGCATCAACAACAATCATCAAAAATGGTTATAATCATAACCATAATTTTTAAAGGGGTGAACTAGTAAGACAGCAGAAGACCTCAGTCAGATAACCAAAAGCTCCAGAGGCAGGTCATCACATGACTAAGACCCACATCAGGAAACACTTGTCCTGTTTCCTAGCAAATCTTATCTAACTTAACCAATCTTACTATCTCTTCATGGATGACAAAGTTTACTCAAATTAGGTTTGAAATATGCTGGTTTCAAATTTTAGTACCATTACTACAGTGCTCCAGTTTGATCCAATATTAATGAGTTATATTACACGTTCTCTTGTTGTCAATACGTGAAATGATCCCACGTGTATTTGGGTCATAAGTACCCTTAAAATGCCATCATGATTTATAATTTGTGGAGCTCTTTTTCCACATAATTTTTTTTTTCAACAAACTGGCCATACCCCACCAAGGCAGGGTGACCTAAAAAGAAAAACTTTCATTTTTCTTTTTACACTCGGTAATTTATACAGAAGAAGGGGTTACTAGCCCCTTACTTCTGGCATCTTAGCCGCCTCTTAAGGAGGTAGAATTCTTTTCCACTTCCCCATGGAGATAAGAGGAAATAAAGAAGAACAAGAACTGGTAGTAGGTTGGTAGACAGAAACCATTCGGGGAGATACTACCGTCCTACCTGATGGTAGGATTGCTGGTGTCCTTTTTCTGTCTCATAAACATGCAAGATTTTGGGTAAGTCTTGCTACTTCTACTTACACTTAGGTCACACTACACATACATGTACACATTTATGTATATGCACTCATCTGAGTTTTCTTTGATTTTATCTTAATAGTTCTTGTTCTTAGTGCTTTTCATTTCATAACCATGAGGAAGTGGAATAAGAATCTTTCCTCTGTAAGCTATGCGTGTTGTAAAATTCAACTAAAATGCCGGGAACAATGGGCTAGTAACCCCTTTTCCTGTATAGCTTACTAAACAGGAAAAGAAGAAAACCATCAAAGTGGGATGTTTGAATGTGCATGAATGTTGTGCGAATGATAAGAAAAAGATGATTGTGGATGTTATGAATGAGAAGCTGCATGTCCTGGCTGTAAGTGAAACAAAGCTGAAGGGGGTGGGAGAGTTTCAGTGGGGAGAAATAAATGTGATTAGGTCAGGGGTTTCAAATAAAGTTAGAGCTAAAGAAGGAGTAGCAATAATGTTGAAGGATAAGTTATGGCAGGAAAAGAGGAAATATAAATGTATAAATTCAAGGATTATGTGGAGTAAAATAAGGGTTGGATGTGAAAAGTGGGTTATAGTAAGTGTTTATGCACCTGGAGAAGAGAGAACTATAGAGGAAAGAGAGAGATTTTTGGGAAATGTTAAGTGAGTGCATTGGGAGTTTTGACCCAAGTGAGAGAGTACAGTGGACCCCCGGTTTACGATATTATTTCATTCCAGAAGTATGTTCAGGTGCCATTACTGAACGAATTTGTTCCCACAAGGAATATTGTGAATTAGATTAGTCCATTTCAGACCCCCAAACATACACGTACAAACGCACTTACATAAATACACTTACATAATTGGTCGCATTGGGAGCTGATCGTAAACCGGGGGTCCACTGTACTTGTGCTTGGGAATCTCAGTGCTAAAGTGGGTAAAAATGTTGTGGAGGGAGTAGTAGGTAAATTTGGGGTGCCAGGGGTAAATGAAAATGGGAGCCTTTAACCCTTTGACTGTTTTGGTCGTATATATATATGTACGTCTTACGAGCCACCATGTTTGACGTATATATACTCATAAATTCTAGCTTCGAATCAAGCAGGAGAAAGCTGGTAGACCCACATGTGAGAGAATGGGTCTGTGTGGTCAGTGTGCACCATATAAAAAAATCCTGCGGCACGCATTGCATAATGAGGAAAACAAAAACTCCGACTTTTTTTTTTTTTTTTTAATTAAAATGCAGACTTTGTGGTCTATTTTCGTATAGTATTTATGGTTGTATTCTCGTTTTCTTGGTCTCATTTGATAGAATGGACAACATATAGAAATAGAGGTGATTTTGATTGGTTTTACTATGAAAAGAATCTTGAAATGGAGCTCAAAGTAAGGGAAATGTTTGATTTTTGCCAGTGTTCAAAAGTAAACAAATGATGTCATTTTCCAATAAAAGTCCAAGTAGCCATTCTGATATGCAGTCATGAATGGGTTGACATTATTTATACAATTATTATAATACTGCAGTACTCTGCATAACAGTAAATCTTCTATTTTTTGTTTGAATAAAATTTCAAAATAGAAAGCAAGAGTAATATCAGAGGGGCCTGGAGACGTGACTGATGAACACAGAAAATATTATTTTAGAGCCAAGAATGTCTGCATTGTTCATTCTGGACACTATTTTGAAATTGTCATATTTTTTAATTTTCGTGAAATTGTCCAAATTGCAAATTTCTGACCACGTTATTGGGTAGTTGAAATCAGTAAATAGGCAGTTTCTTGTACTCAATCGATAGAAAAAATGGAGTTCTAAAGAAATAGCTATGAGTTTGGTCGACTGAAACAATGGAATTAGCCGAAAATAGGGCTCCAAATGGGCGAAATCGCCGATTCGTAAAAATCGCCAAGGTTACTAACTTTGCGAGAGTGTAATTCCGTCAGTTTTCCATCAAATTTCGTTCTTTTGGTGTTATTACAATCGGGAAAATTTTCTCTATCATTTCATAAGAAAAAATATATATTTTTTTTTTTTTGGGGGGGGGGGAAAATTTTGCGACACCAGGATTTAGGGTTGCGACAGTCAAGGGGTTAATTGAGCTAGGTGTACAAAGAGATTTAGTAATAAGTAATACACATTTTATGAAAAAGAGGATAAATAAGTATACAAGGTATGATACAGCATGTAATGAAAGTAGTTTGTTAGATTATGTATTGGTGGATAAAAGGTTAACCCTTTCAGGGTCCCCAGGCCCTCTCCCAGACTTGTTCTCAGGGTCACCCAAATTTAACACTTTCAGGGTCCGTCCCGTAGATCTACGGCTTTACGTTCAGGGTCCAAACCGTAGATCTACGCCATGAGCTCAGCTCACTCTGATAAACTGTGAGTGGTACATTTGGGCCTAGATATGAGAGAATACATCTATGTGGTATGTGTGCACCACATAAAACAAATCCTGCAGCACACTGTGTATAATGAGAGAAAAAAAATGAAATCATGATTTTTCGATTAAAACAGCAACTTTGCAGTGTTTTTTCGTATGTTTTTTATAGTTGTATTTGCGATTTCTTGGTCTCATTTGATAGAATGGAAGACATATTACAGAAATAGAGATGATTTTGATTGGTTTTAGCACTGGAAATGGCTTGAAACTGAGCTCAAAGTAGCAGAAATGTTAAATTTTTGCCGATATTCAAGAGTAAACAAACGACCTCACACATCTAATACACGTCAGCTGGTGGGTC